AACTGGAAATTTGCATTTTTTCAAAAAATTTACATTTGTCATTTTTTCACAAGGCGAGCATTTACCAAAAAAAACGACCGGACTTCACACAAAACACCGGTAATCATGCACCTGGATGTCCTTGCGGCTCTATAATGCACTATCTTCATCCCAACTGACGCCCTTCCTCCTGCATGCCGGAAAGGATCAAAGCACTGCCAATATGAGCCCAAGCGTTAGGCTACAGCGTAGGGATCATTCCTGCTAATAGCGATATGCGAGTTTAGTGCGAAAACGCATGATCGCACCGGAGAGCCTGGTGCGTTCCAGCCTGGGTTTTTTTGATTGTAGAAGTAGAATTTTTCGTGAAAATAACTGGTTCCTGCAGCATGGTTATGGACGGAGACATGACCAAGAATCGTGATGCAAAATGTCTGAACTTTTTAACTTGTCTAATCGCAGGACTGGAAGTTGCTCAATTTCAGTCTTATGTGTCTCCACACATGTGAGTAGGCGCATACTAAAGCTAAAACTAGTTCTTCAGAATCACATGTGGCCAGGAAAAGTTCAGCCCTATAACTTTCCTGGCTTCTGAGCTAGCGCTTCTCCCGCCAAACCCTTCCATCCGCCTATAAGTTAGATGCAGACGTGTGTAAAAGTTTATATTATTACTTCTGGAGATGCGGTTAGGCACGAAGCATTTTAGTATCCAAGCTTGCTTGGGTGTAGAGTTGAAAAATACCGAAGACATCAAGACAGACAGCCACACACACACACACACGCACACAGACACACAGTGGGTCGTCACAATTTGCATTCTGCCAAAGCTGCAACGCAACAGTTCTGCACAACAAAAACGAATCAAAACAAATGTTATATCTCACTTCGTGCCATTCACTCAAAAGAATTTCGAAACATACCTTTTGTTACGGAAGTAGCAAAGGAACTCAATTATTTCGAACTCATTCCGATTAGTTAGTTAAAAATTTGATGATTGGGACCACGAACAGAGCTATAAGGTCTGCGGAACCAGTATAATCTTGCTTTCTGGCACATTTACCTTCATAAAATCAATGTACTTGGCGAAAGAGCTCATAGGAAAAGACAGTAAATTCTTCCAAGAATTCGTTTGCAAAGAGTAGGCGTGTATAGTTGCTAGCGTATCGAATACCTAGAAACTGGCTGCGTTACAGTATTTTGATAAATACTCAGCTCAAAAAAACCAATAGACATTTAAAACTCTGAGTGCAACTCATCAAAACCTATTGGACGGTACTGATACTTATGCATGACAATAGCTTTTGTCAACTGCTCAAAGTAAATAGTCGATAATCTACATATGGCTCGAATTATCTGTTGTTAGGAACGAGAAACTCAGAAGCACCTGAGACAAGTCTTCAGAATCCAGACCATCAAAAGGCAATGAAGCATATGCTTCTTCACCCATATCTTCTATAACCAATAACCCCTGAGACTGGTCCTGATTGGAATCTTGCGCAATATAACAGTGCGGGATATTCTCAATATTAATATCTTTTTGCTGAAGCCATTTATAGAATATTACTTCATTGGCGTGACCCTGAAAAGAAAACATTATGCTAACCAATAAATTGAGTGTGTTAGCGATAGTAAGAATAACTGGAAAAGCCCGTGCTGCATTAACAGCCAGACGTTAACAAAATGTATGTGTTGAAGTCCATACATTTTGTTAGGATTTGGACGTCAGGGACTCAAGTTTTATACGGGACTTAAGAGCAGCTAGTATAGTGGATAGCACGCCACGATTTCAAGCAATCGGAGAATACGAGTGCAGTCGTGCTGTTGCAAGAGAGCCGATTTACAAGCCATGCGTTAACGGCAAAAATGACAAGCAGAACAGCACCAGAAGAATACAAAATGAAACAATACGATGTAGGAGAATCACCGCAAAATTAATTGTTTCGCAGTCGGTCTGTCAGCATGAAAGACTGATAATAAAGCCTTCTAGAAGTCAATAACCAGCTTACAAAGCTGCGCATATAATAAAAAGAGGTCGCCAACAGCACTTACGGGAAATAATATACATTTTAACATTTATCCAGGTGATCTGAGGTGCTGTGTTTTCCTTCTTTAGTATTAAAATTGATTATAGGAAAAGCCGTGTCTGTGATTTTTGTGAAAAAGTTCGGTGATTTTTCTGTAACATGTTTTTTAGTATTTCGTCTTCTCTAAATTTATCGGAAAATTACACAACTAAAATATGACTTTAAAAAATCGAGGAGAAAATGTAACAGCATAACATAAAGGAACTGAAGTAACAGTTTTGATAATTCTGTTCTCGAATATTGTAGGGCTGCCCTTTTTAAGCACCAATCAGAGCGGCCGTACAGGTGAGTAGGCGGAGGGGGTCCTCTGTCTGAGACGTGAACGAGGACTGACTTGTAAGCACGGTTCATCCTTCCTTCGTTCGTCATATTTTCCGATCTGCGCTCGTCTCCTCAGCTTATGCTTAGTATGACAGAATCATCTTTATCTTCAATCCCCTTTATTTTGATTTGGCTTGCCACCTCTCCCTCCAGTCGACTCGTTCACTTTATCAGCCTCACCTTGCCAGAATACAAATCGCCGAGACCATCTTCTTGGACCTTACTGAAGGTCTTAACCGGATCGTAGAATCTATTTCAGCGCTGCAATTCAGTATTGTACCGTCCAGTACTGAATGTTTTAATGACGCTCTACTCAAAAACTATCCTTCATACCTGACTGCCAAAACGATCTACACATTTCACTTATTCTTAAAGGGCTAGCTTTTACTATCTGCTGCTTTATACAATCGGTGAATTAAGATGGAACGCTGCATGAAGTTCGTCTTATCCTGAAAATTCCACGAAAATCTTACTTTCACCCTGAAATCATGCATCATGGTGCTGAAGATCTGCAAATCCCAACCAGCTGATCCCGTCCTAAATGTTGTATCCTGCTGCATTTCTTCAGTCACTTGGTCCACAGGCAGCTTGATAACAAGTGTTTCCGGCAGTTTGTCTGATTCAGAATAATTAACCCAATCCAGGTACATTCGACCCAAAACACAAACATACCCCTGAAACGAAACTTATTTGAACGAAAGATTATAGTGCCGATTCGAGCGCTGGCAGTGAAGATGCACTTTTGCGACCGTTTGCCCTAGCATGCTATTTTAAACTCAAGCTGGAAAGTACCAGGCGGGCCTGTGCGATCATGCATTTTTACACCGGACTTGAAGTACTCAGGTCATTAACCATATGAATGGTTGTTGCTTTACAGATTCCTTTTAAACACGCCCATACCATGCACGACCCTCCCATTTTAATATCATCCCCCGCGGACCCCTGGGCGCCGAGTACGGATGCTTTAAAAAGAAATGCAAAGTTTTTGCCTGGAAAGCTATCTCAGGAACCAAACAAGGTAGGGGCTGAAACTTTCTAGGGATATTCCCTGTACATGTACTGGCTAAAAATTTCAAATTCAGCTCCAGGTATGCGTGGTACTCATGTAAGGGCGTATGAAAGTTTTAGGGGGAAAATTACTAATTCAGCAACCAGAAGGGCTGGAAGTCTGGAATTTTAGGCGGATATTCCCTGTCCACGTGCAATTTAAAAGTTTCAAATTCAGCTTTCCAAGCACGTGAAGTACCCAAGTACGGGTATATAAAGGTTTTGGCAGGAAAACTGCTAACTCGGTAACCAGAAAAGCTGGGAAACTGAAATTTTGAGAGAATGTTCCCTGTCTAAGTACAACGTAAGTATTTCAAATTCAGCCTTAAGGTATGCGTGGTTCTTGCGTACGGGCACCTAAAAGTCGACGAAAAAATTTCTCACTGAACAACTAGGTTACTTTTAAGGAACGACTGTTAAGTGGAAATTGTGCATTTACTTTGCAAAATTTTTGGTGATTTGTGCTGGTGACCGCAAAAAGTTAGGTGCAAAGCAACAGCCATTCATACAGTTAATGACCTGAGTAATTAAAGTTCTGTGCAAAAACGCATGATCGTACGAACGCGCCTGGCGCGTTCCAGCCTAGGCTGCAATTTGCACGTATGTAAAAACACATAAAAAATCAATTATCTCAGTCTTGAAAAAACACGCCGAGCTGACCTCACCGTATCCAATCCGAATCGCATTTTTTTTCCTTCCAAAATAAGCCTTCGTTTGAAATACGTTTTGAAGCTTTTTTTCCACCCACTTCCACGTTACACTTGTCCCAAGGATATAGGAATCGTCTGCAGTTTCGGATTCGTTTGCCATCATACTGCTAAAAATAGCTTTACCATTCCCGTGTTGCTTAATCAAGTGGAGATCCAAGTAGCGAAACACTAGGTTTGCCTTTACGATATGCGTTACTGCTTGATTCCGCGGCGTGAAGAGACTGCCTGCACTACTATAAAAGAGATATCATTTTATCGCTTTACCTCCGTCGCAGGATTAGAGTCTCGGTTCCCCATTCCGGGTTTTTCGCCGAGAATTTTCCCATCAGAAATTTCACCTACGACGGGGGAAATAGGTTCCCTTTCTTATCGACACAGTTTTAAAATACACTTTGAAATATCTGTCAGAAGCAACGGATCAAGATATGAATTGCAAAAGTATACAACAAATAAGGTTAGCGATCCGACGAGTCGTGATCCGCGTGCATCGTCAAATCCGCCACTTATTAAAGCCAAGTGGGCATCTTCGCAAACTAGATCGCAATGCTACTACTGGTGATTCCTGCGATAACCCATTCTTCTATTGTCTTATAGCTGCGTTATTTAGTAAATTATCTGTATGACAATAGTACAGCACTTACGACTGGTTCCTTCGATTCATCGGCACGTCTGTTCACACTGCCCGAAACTAATCTCACTTTAACTGTACTAGGTGATTGCGGCGTTACAATTTGAACATTTGGTGTATCTGTACGCAAAGCCTATGCCTAGACAGCCTATGCCTTTTTAAGCTTGGCAGCCTGCAAACGAAAAGCAAGCATCCTTAAGATAAACACTACTTCCGGCACAGTCTAGTTGCCGAGTTAATTGGATACAGACAGTGTTCACGCTATTTCTTCGCTTACGCGCATGTGAGACCTAGTCATGATTAAAACTGAATTTGAAATATTTCATTAGCACATTGTCATAGAATAACCTTGCAAAGTCTGTATTACTTACTTTGAATAATTTGCGAAATCGCTTTTCGTCATAGTATCTTTGACGTGTCCGAACACCCTATAAAGACGAGCAGCAAAGCTCATTTTAAGCCTACATGCTCTTGTAGAGGATATAGACATTCTCGTAAAATTTGAGCGCTCAAATCTGCTTAATCCTAAAGTTGGCATTCTCCCTGTCGCTTCTCAACCTCAGCTCTGATGTGTCTGCACACTCGCGCGTTTAAAGCTCAATTTGAAATCTTTAGACCATACAAGGATATAATGCATCCCCGTGAAATTTTTGGTTTCTATCTTTCCTGTGAATTTCTCTCCTGCCAAAAAATTTTCACGAATTTTTTTAAGCACCCGCACGTGAGATCTAGATGTAAGTGAGAGATGATTTCAAAGATGGTGCATTGTACTTCGGGCGGGAACATGCCTCCAAGGTTAAGTGCTCTCTTTCTGCTGGCTACTACACCAGTCCTTGTTTTATGTAGAGCATCTTTTTATCTGCATCCCTTTTTATGCGTTTTTGCTGTGCAGCCGTTGCTACAGCTAGCAAAAACGCAAATTGTCGACAAAAAATTTTGCTTACCGGATAAGGTGCGAAGGTGAAACGTCGCTGGAATATTCTAGTTTCAAATGCAGTTTTAATTCTGCTTGAAAGTGGAATTCCCGCAGGTGAACATGAGAAACACTCAAGTTTACCGAAAATCAGAACAGAGCGCATTTTGCAGCAAACGATCGTCCTCATCCTCTCCCAACATGTAAATGAACTCATTTACATATTTGGATTTTTTGACGAACGACCGCATCAGCAACATTTCCACTATTTAATGGACTGGAAATTTGCAGTTCCTCGAAGAACGGGCAGGCTTCATGCGAAAAACTGACAGTCATGCACCTGGAGATTCATGCCACTCTATAATGCACCACCTCCATCCCAACCGACTCCCTTTCTCCTGCATTTCAAAGCACGACCAATATGGGCCCGAGTGTAAGGCTACAGTGCAGGAATCATTCCTGCTATTAGCGACTTGCGAATTTAGTGCAAAAATGCATGATCGCACCGACATGCCTGGTGTACTTCAGTCTGAGTTAAAGAGCAACTTGTTATAGCAAGATCGTTAACAGCAGATGTGGTTATATATTATGTAAACAGCTATACCTACTGTTAACAACCTATTAACGATATATACATATATATATACGGTCTTGAAATTAGTGTCTAGCAAGAGCGCAAAAAAACCACAGGGCTTTTGCGTGTGACTGTAGAAACGAAAATAGAAAACCAGATCGATCGATCGATCGAATGACGCAGCGAATCAAAAACAGGTTGACTGACAAAAATGACTAAGGGAGGTAAGCAGTGTACTTTGTCCGTCAGAACTGCACTTCCCAAAATAAAGTATTGCTGACAGCCGGACATTTGCAAATGCACTTGCCAATCCATTAAAACTGATAGGGCTGTTTTGTACGACAGATATTTAAGTAAATTTATAGCACTTTAAAAAATTTGGTGCTCAAGTGGTTTTTGCCGGCGATGATGAAATCACAACTTTGTTTTGTCCGTGCTCGTTTCGTAGGTATGCATTAAAACTTATTTGAAATATTTCGGTCGCATATAGGCGTGGAGTATCTCCTAAATTTTGAGCTTCCTAGCATGAGTGGTTTGCAAAATCGCTTTCCGTTACACATAATTTTTGAAGTGTCCAAAACGCGATACAGACTTTGTGCCGATGCTCATTTTTTATCTACGTGCCCAGGTACAGACGGCAAATATTTTTGAGTGAGAATACTCTAACTAGCTAGGTCACTGAATTGGCTTTTTGCCAGTGACGACAAAGTCTGAACTATGATCTGTTCGCACACTTGACATAGGCGTGCGCTAAAGCTGATCTGAAATCTTTAGGTTATATAAGGACATAAAATATGCATGTGGAATTTTGTTTTTTGCCTGCTCTGGTTTCCGAAATCGCTTTCCCGTCAACAAATTTGCATGACTTTTTTAAATCCTCCGTACATGAGCCCCAACTGTTCGTGAATGTTGCTTTTTAAATATTTTGAAACCATGTGTGTTAAGAAAATCCGTGTGAAATTTCAGCTTACCACCTTCAGCGACAGATAAGTTGAATGTGGCGACAAAATCAGAACACACACAACGACAACCTTCTGACAATATGTGTTTTTGCATTTGCATAGAATTCAAGATCGCATAATTATCATTGATAGAGCAATCAGCCCATTAATAAATTTGTAAGCAGTCATCGATCAGTACAAATGCGGTGAAATTCTAGCCTGTCAAGACTCTGATACTGAAGCCTTCCAGCACAGAAAGTGGGAGTTATTGACAACGTTGGAAATAGCTCATGTAAAATATTTTTGGATCAGTTCAACTCAGCGAGCGCTTCTACTCCAAGGGTATCTTTTTTAATGAGGTACTACTGTGCTCAAGTAAGCGCTTAATATAAATTGTAAATGACTGGAAATATGTTTTTAATTGATCTGGCTTCAAAGATAATAACAGTAAACAGCAAGCCTTACAATCGACTTTCTTAGGAATAAAATGGGGATGATGACTGTGTCGAAGATTTTCACCAAGCACGATGCTTAAACTTTGAGGATTTCCCGCAAATTGTATGGACTCCATTCAAATAATAACTAGTCAAGGAAATACTGTTGCCAAGGGACTGCTGCTGCCATATGCCAAAGCTGCTGGTTTTCAAAAAAAATTTTATACAGCCTTTCGTGAAGTGGTTTTTATGCGTTTTTGCTGTGCTACGGTGAGCAAGAACTTATATTGTCGAGAGGTCGTCCGTGTGTGTCTGTGTTTGGAAGCGAGTGAATTTTGTCACCCACTTTCAACTCATAATCAGGAAAGCTAAGAGGCTGAAATTTTGGACGCATATTCCCATTCCACATGTCTTCTTGCTGTTTTAAAAACTTTGCTTATAAGTGCCCAAACCCCGCGTAAACGGCCCCCAAAAATATGCATATTTCTTTGGTGGGAGACGATTTCGTGATCCACACAAGACAGAAAGCTCAAACTTTGCAGTGGTATTCTCTATTCATATGAGCCAAAGATTCCAAATTCAGCTACCGTGCCACATTTACACCATGCATTTGCAGTTGGCACTGTGCTGACTCGGCCTAAATTGAGTTTCAATTTTCACTTGCCTCACGATTTATGGCAATTCAAAGATATTTGTAAGAAATGGCTATCTCGCTTACCAGACAAGCTGCAAACCTGAAATTTTGGAAGGACATTCCATATTCACGTGTGAGTCTTCAGTTTGAAGGTAAAATTCCCTTCATGCAAACATGAAAAATGCTCGATTTTGTTGCTAACTCAAAAGCGAGCGCATGTTGCAGATTTAATAATCTTTCGACTTTCTTCGAATTTGCATTTTTCAAAGAGAGAGCATTCTTCGAAAAAACGACTGGACATCATGCAAAAAACTGATAATCATGCACGCTAAAGATTCAAGTGGCCTCACAATGCAACACCTTCGTCCCAGCCGAAACCCTTTCCTTCCACATGCTGAAATGGGCCAAAACAAAGCCAGTATGAGGCCAAGTGTTAAACCGTAGCGCATGAACCATTCTTGCTGTTAGTGATCTGCAATTTTAGCACAAAAACGCATAATCACAACGGCAAGTCTGATGCACTGCAGCCAAGGTTTCTTATTCCACTCCACTCTGGATTATTTTTTATTATGCGTTCATGTTTATATGGAAATGAAACCCAGGCTGGAAAGCACCAGGCGAGCCGGTGCGATCATGCGTTTTTTGCATCAAACTTTGAGGTACTCCATCATTATTTCCCTGTCCTTGCCTCACCCCTCCACTCGCTGTTCTCGCCCCTCCCCCTTGCCCCGCACCCGCCCTGGATATCCATCTTTTCCAAGCGGTGATATTGTGCTGCGTTATACAGCACTATTATAAAGCGGTATTCCGTGAGTACGGTG